ACTCTCTGAGGGGAAGGGCGGCCAAACTGTGCCGCGCCCCGCCGTGCGGCTGCGCTGGCAGTTACCCGGTAGGGTTGGGCAGCCGGGAGCAAACTCCTGCTCCGTGCCCTTTCCTCGGGCACAGGCTCCCTTGTGCCTTCGTGAATACCTCGGCTGCTACCTTTAGGGCTTGCCTTTCCGCTTTGGGTCAGGTCACTAGCCCGTACAGAGCCGAAGGTGTTCCGGCAGCACTGCCGTAGTCTTCCAGAAACGTTCCCGTCAATCCCTCAGTGATCTATCAACTCCACCAAAAGCACAAGCTGTGGTTCTGCAAAACTCCCGAGGTGGCAAAAAGCGGCATTTCCCAAAAAAAACGGTAGTCCTGCCTCGAGTTTCCCCCCTGGCCCCTTCAGGCCTGCGGAAATGCTGGCGTGGCGGGCTGGGTGGCGATGTGCCGAGGACAAGCCCTTGCCGTCTTCGCTGAGCCACTTTTCATGCGGCTGCAGGAGGAGATGGGGGCAATGAACAGCTGAGGAAGGACGGGGTAACGAGCGATGAGTAAAGACAAAAGTTGGTTCAACCACTCCTAGCTGCACGAGCGTGAGCCTTGCAGGGCAGACATTTTTTCACCGTGCTTTCCCAATTTCTCAGTGGCGACTAAGGCAAGCTAACAGCTCCCGCCAGTGAAGAGCAAACTTCATCCCCAAGCAAGAAACAGCGCAGACAGGATGGATGTCTGTGGGCTGCTCGGGAGTGTGCCCGGGGAGCAGGGCTGCAGGGCGAGGGTGAAGACAGTCTGAACAAAGTTAACCTATGGCTGAATACGAGAAAAAAAATAAAGAAAATTGCTATTTAGAAAGCAAACCAATGTAAGTGGCTTAAGGCAGGACACGATCCTACCATGACAGGAGGAAAGCATAACCGTGTCCTGTGCTTTAAAGCTTTAGTGATCTGGACTCACTCACAAGCCACGGAGGTTTTTTTCCCCTCCACCGATGTCCATCTTAACAGTCAAATCATGCTGATGGAGTCACCTCTCCATATTTAATAGCTGCACGTAACCCACTTACCCTACCCAGCCCCCCAGCCCCACCCAGGTAATTTAACCCTTGCTGGCACCTCTGCCAACCGATGTAACTGCGATTTGTACAGACAAAGACTTCCAATGACTTTTTTCTACGCCACGCAAGTTTCCGAACAATACAGCGAGAAGCAGACATACTCCAAGGGCAGAGTTAAGGTTGCGCAATTATCACATGTAGGAAGTGTCATTTTCCCATTGCATCTGCTGTTTCCCAAACATTTTTGCTCTTTTAGATTACAGCAGTAACGTTTGCTTCGGGAATCTGTGTAGGAACAGTAACTCAGCAGTGCTCACAGGGTCTAGTAAGCGCAGAGTCCTGGTGTGCAATCGCTACCAGAACTTCATGGCTATGATGTTTATGGGGACAACAAGAACGCCATGTTTGGGGATGAGGTCAGTGAAGAGCCTGAGAAGGAGCACAGAAAGGCAGAAAGCGCTGAAATTTTGACTTGGGAGGAGACCTAGGCACAGCTGCTTCCCTTAGCTCCCTATTGCTGCCTTAAGCAGCGCGGCAGCCACCACAGGCACAGAGTAAGTTATTGTGGAAACACCAAGGAGCTATGACCCTTTTTTAGAAAGCAATTTATCTCCTCAGAAAAGTTTCAGGGTTGCTGTTTTCTTTTCATAGCAAAAGTTGTTTTCTTTCCAAAAACCTACTACATTCTTTATTATCAATTCCCCTGGAAACCTTCATTCCTCAACAAATAACACTTTCAAAGTCACGTGTTAAAAGCTTGGCAACCCAAGTATAGCGTGACTTCATTCAATCGCGTACATGCAACGGGACATGATCATTCCCAGTTTGTTAAACACTCTTCAAGCCACAACTGGGTGTCTCTACCTTCACGGACAGTTCTTGGAGGAGCGCCATGGCCACCGGTGGGCTCATGCGTTGATCCATCCGGAGCTTTTGGGATGCTGCATCCTGCTTCCCTGTTCACCCCTCCAGACACCAACGCACCGAGACAGGAACCATTGGCAGAAATCAGGGCTGAAAATACAGTCAAACTGAATTACAACTGCCTTGGTGGGGTATTTCTTTCACACCGTGGTGTTAACACAGTGAGTTATCCTGCCGGCCTCAGAATTCACCAGGGTGGCATGGGCAGCACACCCCACTGAGCATTTGGGGATTTTTAATGGCGTTTGGGCTCTCGCATGCTTGCAAGACAGCCTCTGGCAAGTCATTTAGCACTTCTTTCATTAACTCCAGCGCTCTTGATTTGAAAAGTGAAAGGAGTAAATTTCTAGGCTCACTTGTGAATCTATGGCACCAGTTTTCAAACCAAACTCATTCCAGCTAAATGTTTTGGACTCCACGGTGCTTGTTCAGTTGGTGGTAAATCCAGCAGAAGAAATTCCCACCCTTACCTCCAGAAGATGCCGCTTTCTCAGTGGTGCCAACTGTGTACAACTGCTTGCTTGAGAGCACTCTCAACTGCAAGAGGATCCTGTTAACCCCCTTCTTTCCACCTCTCCCCTTCATGTGTGTTTTTAATGACAAAAACCTTGTAAAGAGACACTGGTTGCAGATGCTTCCAGGGCATAACCAGAGACACAGCACTGGGGCAGGCACACTCACAGTGGCTCGGAGAGCGGGGCACGAACACCTCGGGCCAGCCTGGCTGCCGCAGCCTATGCTGGGAGCTCATGCGCAAATGGCTTTGCCCAGCAAAGCTTTGGCTGTGCATCAGTACATCCTTCGTATCAGGTACAGAGATGTTGGGATGAGACAGACCCCTCTGCACCGGCTCAGCATCCCCATCCCCCTCGCCCGAACCATCCCTCACCCCAGCAGTGTCGCAGCTGCTCCTGCTTCTTTGCATCAGCCCCAAAAACAGGCGACGGTCCAAACCGATGGTCCATACCCTCCACAGAGCAGCTGGCCAGGGATGCTGGGAGGCACATCCCTGAACTAAGCACCCTGCTAATAGCCTCTTCAGGGCAGTGAGATCTCCGAAACCTGGGGTGCCGAGAGCGCAGGGATAATTCCCTGCACCTGGACTGTCGGTATAAACGGATTTAAAAATAAACCGGGACGCTATGCACACAGCCAAAGTCAGTATTTGTGCATAGGGTTCAATGCCAAATATAAATATTAACTTGAGCTTCTCAGCCCTGTTGGTCACGGCGTAAATACGCGTTTTTGTAATTTTGCATCAGATGTGCGTAACTTCTCAGAAGTGACTGCTGTCCTGAACAGCCTGAAGTCCAACCACTGGTAAATGACTTTTCTGTGGATTTAATAAGGAATTTGTTATACAGGAGTTGGAATCAGGCTCAGGACATAGGTCTCTCTATTAGTTTAGCCAGAGCTAAAAGGATCAGAAGTGATGCTGCTGCTCTCTGGGGCAGGGAAGTTGCGTATCACCACACGATTAGCACCTTTTAGTAGAAGTGGGTGGAAAAGGAAATTAGCAATTGAGGGTAGAAATGGTAAACCAGCTACACTAGAGCA